ACTAAATGGTTTTTCCAATCAGATAAAAAGAAAGTATTATTATTAATATTATTATAATGAGTTTCCATAAAAAAAAAATATTATCACAATTCACAATGGTGACAGTATACGATTAGGATTGTGTGGGATCAATTCCCCATATTAGTGAGAGGATTTATAATTAATCATATCTCATCTGTTGTAAATTGGATTTTGATTTTTTGTATATAGAATAATCCAATTGGTTAAACTCTACAAAATAACATCTATTTTGATATATTTTTTGAGAAAAAATATGTTGCTCTAAGAGAATTGACGCTGTAGATAATTCATCAATTTATTTATTTTTAATCTATTAATGATCAAGTTTTGTGTTAGCTGTTGAGATTGCTTAATTTATTATTTTTTGTAGAATAATTCGAGATGACTAATTAGAATAATGTGTGATTAAGTAAAATATTTTATAAATCGAATAAAGAGTGTATATCTTTCTACTAATATATGGAGTTTATTTCCTACATTAATACGACACAATGGATGTGCATGATATTTGTTGAGAGTCTATCACGTGCATAACTCAAAAGTTATGTGTCATGCATAGCATATGTTTACTCAATGATTACTAATGGAAAGGAGACTTAGTATAAAAATTAATTTTCTGATTCTTACTTTATATTTGGTATATTATTTGGCAAAACAATGCTCCAGTTCTTCATATAACCAATGATAAAGGATGAGATTTTGATGCACAACCTCCTTTATTTACAGTTGACACAGATCTGAAGGGCTACTGTTAAGGGTTTTTTAATCTTCGTTTCAACTATGATTTTAAAATAAATCGTGTTATAAAAGTTAGGGTGTGCCTACGGTGACATGCATGTCACGGTGACTTGCATTTTCCGGTCGACCTTATTTAGAATTCGGTCGACCTCATATAGGATCTGGTCGACCTCATTTAGGATTCGGTCGACCTCATATAGGATCAGGTCGACCTAATCTGTTGTTTCAGTGTAAAAACAGTTTTATGGTGCCTACTTTGGAGATTCATATCTTACAATTGGCTAGATGGAAATTGGTGATTAAAGGCTTGTTTTGAAGCTGAAGTGTCCTTCTACACATTAAAGTACTTGGGAGCTCAATAGAAAGTCCAGACGACCATTTTTGAACCTAACCAAAAGGCTATGCCAAAACTGGGAAACTGCCTGAAAATGGCTAAGTCTGGCAACGTGTTTGTCAAGCCTACTTTGGAGCTCAATTTGAGAAGCATGGATGCGAGTCAAGTCCAGGGGCCTCTACCACGTTAAATTACGTATTTTTTTATACAAAGGCAAGGCATTGGATGAAAGATTGGATATCTGTAAGGCTTCAAACAAAAGGGTCGAAGTTGCTACGAAGGCTGTTTTTCTGGCAGACTTCGAGCACAAGCAAGCTGTCAGAAAAACAGCCTTCGTAGCAACTTCGAGCCTTTTGTTTGAAGCCTTAAAGATATTCAATCTTTCATCCAATGCCTTGCCTTTGTATAAAAAAATACGTAATTTAACGTGGTACAGGCCCCTGGACTTGACTCGCATCCATGCTTCTCAAATTCAGCTCCAAAGTAGGCTTGACAAACACGTTGCCAGGCTTAGCCATTTTCAGGCAGTTTCCCAGTTTTGGCATAGCCTTTTGGTTAGGTTCAAAAATGGTCGTCTGGACTTTGTATTGAGCTCCCAAGTACTTTAATGTGTAGAGGGACACTTCAGCTTCGAAACAAGCCTTTAATCACCAATTTCCATCTAGCCAATTGTAAGATATGAATCTCCAAAGTAGGCACCATGAAACTGTTTTTCACTGAAACAACAGATTAGGTCGACCTGATCCTATATGAGGTCGACCGAAAAGTTCATGTCACCGTGACATGCATGTCACCGTAGCAAAGTCCTAAAAGTTATATTGATTGAAACGGGTTAAAGAACAGTTGAAGATGATCACTAGGATGAGTGCTTATATAAGAATTATACAACAATATAAGAAGAAGAAAAAACAATAGTAGCTAGGTAACAATCTACGTTTTCAGTTCTTTTTAACTTCAAACTCATTTATTCGGAAAAGAAATTGTACCCACATAACATGAGTTTTTGACCAAAAAGGGTATCTCAATTGTTTTCATTTTATAAATTCGGCAACTAGCTCCAATTTGTGGACGATTTTTTAAATATGACTTTATTATTCTCAACTCGAGGGAGTTAGGTTTTTTGGAACGCCTACACAGAAACTATTCCAAGATAGTACTAGATAAGAGAACATTTACCTCTTCATGCCTTACAAACCGGTGAAGTTGAATTTTCACATAGAGCTCACTTAGTACAACATCGTGAACACCCATAAGCGAGTACACTATTTTGAAGATAATGAGGGATGAAGAAGAGCAAGCTTAGATAGAGTTCAAGACATGGAGTCATAAATGAGGTATATTGAAATTCTTGAAAATGGTATTTCACACCTCTAAATATTTTACCATTAAATTTTTGCTTTCAGTGAGCTGCAGGAGATGAAGAACGAGTATGTTAATGACAAAGATAGTGGATTTAGTGATGGAGATATCAGTGTTGTTGAGAATAACGAAGAGATTGTTGATGGTAGTTTTTTTTAATTCAATGATGGGAGAAAAGGACGAATCATTGATAATATTTTTATTTTGATTAGGTTTATAATGCAAGCATGAAAATAATGTTTCAAATATCCTAGAATTTCACCACAAAAGTTTGGGTTTCGGTGAAATAAAGATGTAGCCACATAGAGAAAATTATGCATTTGATGGCCGAGCAATCACATAGAAGTCCAAAAGAATTGCAATAGTTTAGGACAACAAAGAGTAAACTAAACACCGTTTCGATTAATTTTTTTAGGGATTGGTTTCATTGCATGGATTGTGTTTTCACTTTTGATAAGGACTTCTGTCCATGAATGATCAATATGTAAGAAAACCTATGATGTATGCTTTTTTTTATATTTTTAATAATTGGATAATTTGGATTCGAATTGATACAAAATAAAACGTAATTTGATAGGAGCAACTACTATTATTTTTTTCACCAAAAATTATTATTATTTTTTAGATCCTCTAAACAATATAAAGAGGTTCTCCTTGAGAATCCACCCACTTGGTTTTTTCCTAGCTTCTCCCCACAGCAAGGAAGGATTGTTTGGTCAACTAAAAAGAAAGTCATCCCTTTTTAATTAATCTGTTCCATTAAATATAATATGAGCTTATGGTTTAAGGCGCATATCGACTCCCTTATTAGTTTTTAATTTATCATACTTAATTTTTATAATTTAAATTAGAAAATTCTTGGGAATTTTTTTTATTATATAAAATGATATCCTTTTGACATATTTTGGAATAAAAAAAATGTAATTCTAGCCTTCTATAGCATCATATATAATAGCATTCATAAACTATCAATTCTTGTATAATGGTTCCCAATATCTACGATAATTTCTAATGATATCCCCACCATCAATTTTTTATTAGATTGTTATGAATGTGGTATCATCTTGATGCCTGGACATTTATTAATCTCCCAATCTTCTTAGAGACAACTTAAAATGATCATGTTACTCTCTGTTTAATTCATGATTTACAAATTAAAAATCAAATCACCACATATAGAAGATGGCATTTTTGGCAGGTCTAATTATTCTCATTATCGACCACTAAAATTTCTTAAGCCATTTTTAAAAATTGAACAACCATTAAGTTTTCAATCCACAAATTATCAAATGTTGTGTTGGTCGCAGGGTTGCTTGTCAGCATTAAGGAAAGAACAAATCTCATAAAATGTTCCCGAGACATAAATTTTATTGTGTGTAATGTTCAGTGTATACAAACATTTTGTTATAAAATATTGGCTTTGAAGGGAAAAAAAATAGGAACAACTATTGTGAAGAAAATTTTTTGATTAAGAAATACAAAAACATGGTAATGGGTGGATATGATTTAGGAATTAGGGGTAGCATCACATGAAATCCAAAATAAAATTTGTAATAATTATTGCCATCGAGGAGTAAATAGTATTGCCGTCTTATTAAAGTTGCAGGAGTCAATTTCTTTGCATGACTTTTGTTTTTTACTTAATTAGAATAAGAACTTCTGTCTGTAAATCAGCTTGGCATGTTAAAAATGATAAAAGTATGATTTCAATAACTAAATGATTTGAAATTTTTATGTTATGAAATAAAACATGTTTTGCTTTCAACAATTAATAATGTTATTTATACTATTAACGAAATTGACTCCATTCTCAGCAAACAGTTGAGCAGGATTCAACACACCTCCAAACGCGTTCTTGCCCCTGTCCCTCAATCTTTGGTAGTTGTACTGTAAAATCCCCGCAGCTGGTGTTGACTTACAGGCCATGGTAACAGAGACCAGGAACCGCCTGGAAAGCTAAATTTGGACATAGTAGGCGCATCGCTATTCACTAGTACGAATCTTCCTTCCTAAAAACATTTGATTAATGAATCTGCCGTCCTGAAATTCCTTTTGTTTTCCAGAGAACCAATCTGGAGTCAGTGAGTCAACCCATCCCAGTTTTTCCTTCCTCTATAATCTCCGTAGTAAAAGATGGACTGATTACTGATCAGGACACTCGACAGTGATGCCAAGGAGTAGTTGGAACTTGGAATTAGATAGGTGAGGATTGGATGATTATGATGATTGTTGTACAAAAGTCTTGATGTATCAATCGACAAGTCGTCGCTCCCCATTATCCCGGTAATATATAACACCAAAATCAGGAAAAGAAAGCTCCATATATTATAAACAATTCCGACGACGGAGTCCGTCGGGCATTTTCAGATGACGACTGGGTTATTTAAAAAACGGGGGGAAAACCATGAACAAGGAAAAACTCCCTCTCTCAGTTGTCTCTGTTTTCAGGCATGAAAACAGAGTACATAAATTAAACCCCCATTGCCTGCACAAAATCATCACAAGAGATCCAAATCCAAGAAGAAGACGAAGAGAAAAATGAGACCCAACAAAACCCAATTGCCCATTTCCCTTCTAATCATCTTCTTCCTCAACTACGACAAATTCATTCTGCATTGCCGATCACAGTTTCAACCTCTAAACCCGCCAATCACCCAAGGGTTCACTTGCAACCCGAACCAAACCCAAACCACCTACTCATGTCAAGCCTACGCTCTGTACCGAGCTTCCCCTCCCAATTTCCTCGACTTGGCCTCCATTGGCGACCTTTTCTCCGTCAGCCGCCTCATGGTTTCCAAACCCAGCAACATCTCCGACCCAGCCGCGTCGTTATTCCCCAACCAGCCACTCTTCGTCCCGTTGACCTGTTCCTGCAACACAGTCAATTCCAGCTTCAGCATCTCTTCCGCTAACCTCAATTACACTATCAAGTCAGGGGACACATTCTGGTACGTCTCCACTTACCACTACCAGAACCTCACCACTTACCCGTCGGTCCAAGTCGTAAACCCTAATCTCGTCCCGGAGAAGCTCGCGATTGGGGATAACGCGATCTTCCCCATCTTCTGCAAATGCCCTGACCGAACCCAGAAAGCCAACGGGACCAATTTCATGGTTTCTTATGTGTTTCAGCCTTCGGACAGTCTTTCCGCCGTCGCCGCAACTTTTGGGGTTCCCCTGAAAACGATCGTTGATGTGAACGGGAACGATGTGAAGCCTCTTGATACGATTTTCATTCCTGTGAATCGGCTTCCGATTCTGGGACAGGGGAATACCAACTCTTCTTCTTCTCCGCCCGCTCTTCTTCCTCCTCCTGCTGCGACGAGGGAGAGGAAGGGTTTGATTAGAGGACTGGAGATTGCGATCGGGATTTGTGGGGGTTTGCTGGTTTTGCTGATTGGGGTTTTGGTTTATAGGGAGAGGGTGTTCGGGAAATGGCGTTATAAACAGGGGAAACAGAGTCGGGAAATTCATGCGGAAGGAGAGAAAGGGTTGAAGGAAATGGAGGCAGGGTTAATGGCGGATGTGTCGGAGTGTTTGGATAAATATAAGGTGTTTAAGATTGACGAGTTGAGAGATGCTACTGATGGGTTCAGTGACGATTGCTTGATTGAAGGCTCTGTTTACAAAGGCGACATTGATGGAGTTCAGTACGCCATCAAGAAGATGAAGTGGAATGCTCGCGAAGAGCTCAAGATCTTACAAAAGGTAATTAATTGAATCTGTTATTTCGTCAGCTTGTTATTTGGTTTCTATGTCACCTTCATAAACCTACCTTCATAAACCTACTTGTCCCAATAACTTTATTGAAAGAGATCCATGTAAGATACTTAATTACTTCCTTACAAGGTCATTCAAATTAAAGCTAACATGTGAGTTTTGTACCGACCCACTAAATCATGTACTTTAAGATAAGGTTAATACTTAATATTAGGATAGTGAGGACTTGAACACTATGCTTTAAAGACAAACCAACTTTGATAGCATAAGATAAATCAACGAGTCTCAATAACTCGACTTATTGGAAGGGATCCTACTTTCTTACAATTTTTGTATATCCAACAGGTCAACCATGGCAATCTAGTCCAGTTAGAAGGATTCTGCATCGACCCTGAAGAAGCCAACTGCTACCTGGTCTACGAATACATCCAAAACGGCTCGCTCCACTCCTGGCTCCACGACAACGACAAGACGAACCCTACAAAAAAGCTAAGCTGGAAAACGAGGATCCGAATTGCCATCGACGTGGCCAACGGCCTCCAGTACATCCACGAGCACACCAGGCCGAGAGTCGTGCACAAGGACATCAAGACCGCCAACATCCTCCTCGATGCCAACATGCGGGCCAAGATAGCCAACTTTGGTTTAGCCAAATCCGGTCGCAACGCCATAACGATGCACATCGTGGGGACCCAGGGCTACATCTCTCCCGAGTACATGGCTGATGGGGTGGTGTCGACGAAGATGGACGTGTTCGCCTTCGGGGTCGTCCTACTGGAGCTCGTCTCTGGGAAGGAAGCGGCGGACGAGGAAGGAAATTCGTTATGGGAGGATCTGGGGAGTGTGAGGAGGTGGGTCGAAGATGATGGTGTCGATGAGGAGAGTGAGGAGGGGGAGGAGTATGGTGGTTCGATGGAGAGTAGTGTTGTGAATGTGTTGACCGTGGCGGCAGCTTGTGTGAATGTGGATCCTCTGAAGAGGCCGAGCATGATGGACGTGGTTTATGCTTTGTGTCGGAGTGATGATGAGCTGTTTTTTGATATTTCAGATGATGATGGGTTGACTAACTCTAAAGTGACTGTTAGGTAGGATGGTCTGTCATTATGTAGCAGTGTATGGGTAAAATATAAGAGAAGTATATTTCTACTAGAGTTTTCTAGTTTTAATATCGTTTCAAGAAAGTATTACGTAAGAGATGTTATTAGAAGCAACATGTTTTCCTATGTATGATTGTAAAATGTGATGGTAATAATGAACGTTGTATTGATTCCAAAAGTGGCAAAAAATTTCCTCTCTCTAACTTTTCTTTCAAAAAATTTCCTCTAACCGCTCTTCAAGACTTCTAAGGGGGCTATTGTCGTCGCCTCTCCAGTGACTAGTGGCAGCTCTTTGGCCCCTCTTCTTTTGTTTTTATCTCTCATGTTTTTCAGCTTTCCCGCTCTGGTTCCCTTTCGTTTTTCTTCTCTATCCATTTCTTGGTTTTCTTTTTGTGCTTGTTTTCTTTCCCTTTATGGGTTGTTGTCCTCTACCTTTGTTGGGTTGGGTTTTTGTCCTTTGTTCTGGTGATTCGGAACTGGAGATGTTTGTTTGATCCAAGATGCAAGGAGGCTTGATCTGCATAATATCTGACTTGTCTTCTCCTATCTTTTCCATCATCTACCTTCTTGTTCTCACCTTGCAGATCTGGTGGTTCGGAGATGCATCCCCTGGGGTCGTACGCGATTTTGGAGAGCTTGAAGACAAAAGATCGCCTCCCCTCTGTTTCATCCATCGGTCATCCTATCAAGTGTTCTAGATTCCCACGAGTTTCGCATGGTGGGAGGCGGACAATTTGATTGGCTCGAGTGGTTTGGTGGAATCTGCCCCTTTGCTTGACGGTGGTGGCGGTTTTGGTGGAGAGTGGCGCTGCTTGGTTTGGTTGTGCAACAGAGGCAGCTTCATCCACAAGGACGAGTTCCATTGAGGGTGTCTGCTAGGGTTGGGGGTTAGGGGAAATGTTTGGCTCCTGGGCTTAGGGTTCTATTGGGTTCCGGGTCTGTGTTGGGTTATGTTTTTTTCTTGCTAATTTCTAGTCCTTGTATGATCATGGTTGTATCTTTTCATATAGGCCTCATCCATTACATTCTTAATTATATCCTTTTTCACAAAAAAAAGAAGTATTGATTTCAACTGAAGAAGTATGCATATGCTCAGAGAGCAAACTCTATACCTCTAAGTTAATCAATATTATTTTGTCACAAAGTTGCAATTCATTTCCTATTATTCTATTGTCAAAAACTTTATAACATCATATAGAGTATGTATAGTTTCATTCTATTAGTTGATTGTTCTGTGATGGATGTAGCTACTTTGATGACTGTATTTGAGGAGAGACTCCAAGTAGGGGTGTTTAAATGGTTACCATGGTAATTACCAAACTAAATAAGCCTAAATTTTATTAACCAAGGAATACAATATCATAACCAAAACGTCCAAACTAATACAACAACCAAATTAACCAAACTAAAGTTTAATCGGTTTGGTTAATTGGTTAACCAAAATAATCAATATAACATCACATTATCATTAAGTGAGAAAAATTTCCAGTTTGTGCATCAATTCGCAATTTATATAATGGATAACACATAACAATACACATAATTATAGTTAACCCTTAATATAAATACATGTAACAAATACAATTATCTTACATTTGACTCTTGAGTGGTGTAACAAAGTATTAAAAATGTGTATTAGATATATATTAGATATATAGCTAAACCAAACCACCTAAACCAAATAAGTTAAATTTTTTAACCAAACTAAATTATCCAAATACTACCGGTTAAAACAGTAACCACACTGGTTGGACACCTCTAACTCCAAGTATCTTGCTTTGGTTAGTTTGTACTTGATGAAGATTTTGATTTAACCATAACAAATTCTCAATTGCTTCGATACATGTATATTTTACTTCTTTCGGAATATGATGACACGTCTTGGTTGTTTATGAAAATAAAAATTGTTTTAGTAAACTTTTTAATGAATTATTTGATATTATTTTTATAATTTGCTTAAATTAAATATTTATTTATATTTAAAAATAATTCACTAAGAACATCACATTACATTAATTGCAAGATCAATTACATGTATTGTTCTATTGTCGCTTCACAATTTATGCGATCCAACTCATATAATTTATTGCACAACATCAATGTAATTCAGTTGCAATTGACATTGATTTTTTTAATGCGATTATAAAAATATAAAATACTTAAGAAATAAAAATAATAACTAATTTGATGATAATAAATAAGATGATGTAACTTGTAACTCATGATTGGGTTCGATAAATGTTTGTAAAGATGTAATTGTTATCAACATCAATATAATTGCACTCTATCTTTTTGTTTGAATTGTTTTCCTTCTCTCCAAGCCATCCCTTGATAATTTCAAAGGATGTTGTCGACACCTTCTGGGGATCGACGGCAACCTACAACCACCCGCATCCCTGTTTTTCTTCTTCATTTTCCTTTATTTTAAAATTTTAATATTTTTTATTTTATTCTGTTGTTGCTTTGATTTCACCTGTGTGGGTGCTGTTCTTCTAGCTTCTGCATTTTCCTCTTATGGGTTTATTTTCCAACTCCTTTATGGGTTGTTATTTTGCCTTCTGTTCTTATATATCAGTTATCATAAATGGAGATGATTTGATCTATGTACCAATGGGGGGTGGATTTGCTTTGAATCCAACTTTTCCCTTCGTATTCTTTTATGTTTGTCTACCTCCTTGCTTCACCTTGCAGATCTCAATGATTCACAGACGATTGACCATCGGCTTGGGCTCGAAGTGAGGATCTTGGCTCCCACTGGTCTTTTTGTGATCTAAAATTTCTCTTGTTCATTACGAAGAAGAGGGGTTGAGGCATTTGGTCCAGAGAGGGTTGTTTCAAAAGCGTTGTTGTGCCTTCGCTGCCCTCCTTCTGGGTTGGTTTGTTCTAGCTCCACTCCATGGTGTTTGCATGTTTGATTTCTTGTTCCTCGACCTTTGGTTGGCAGCATGTAGTGGCGCTTGAATTTTCAATGGCGCTGGAGATGCCATGAGGAAGCAGTGTGCAACTAGGGTTGAGAACTGAACCTTGTTGGGGCTCTTTGATTGGGCCCTATTGGGTTGCTAGTCTTTTGTGGGCTTCAGATTTGATTCTCTTGCTTTTGTTGTAAATGGTGACCTTTTCCTTTGAGCTTCAGTTGCTCTATAACAAGAAAATTTGTATAAAAAATAGATATAATTTCATAATACAATTAAAATGTTGCAATTCCAACTCAGACCCCCCCCAACTTCTATATCTTAATGAGGGCTGGTAAACGGTAATTCTGTTAGTGATGTGACCACTAACCGAACGAAAATCGGTGGTTAACGGTTACACCGATAATCGATTGAACTGTAAACAGTCGATTCCGATAGTCCAGTTTAGCTAATTAGTAATCAAAGGTTAACGGTTAACAACCCATGGTTAAACTATTAACCCACTAACCGATTACGGGCATCCTTATAGTTAGGGTTGCAAATAATAGGCATCGATGAGTCACATAAATAGGTAAAAAATAATGAGATGTTTGAAAGCCTACAAGATCTCTTGCATAGCCTAGTTGTAATAGTTAATTAGGTTCAAATGATAATAATTTCAAGGAGGGCTTTAGAAGGAGCATAGTAGGAAGTTGGACTTGGGCACATCAGTCCGACAACAATCAATAACATTTAAACTTCCATGTAATTTAGTGGGATTTATTATGAGTTGAACAATTGGTGTTAGGCCTCTCATTAGTGCCTACTTCTTTAATCAAATTTGACGGTAGAATGGTGTTATTGTGTCCTTGTGTGGATTGAGTTGAAACAACCCGATCTTTTTGACAAATCAAACCAAAATTTTAAAACAAAAATCGGTTACTCTAGAGCAACCCAAACCATGTTTTAAAGTCAAACCAAAAATCAACCAACGACAATAACCAAAACTCTCAAACGAAAAGCCCTAAACAGTTGGGCAATTCTCAATCCAAAACACTTGAACAGAAAACTTGAGTTTCCCAGTATACTCATAGGACAAGAAATAAAGACAAATATGATAAAAAAGGGTCCCATCTCAATACCCTAATCCTTCCGACATCTTCAAACTTGACGCGGCTGGCCTCCTTGATTAATCTCCTCGTGCTGGTTACGCCATCTTCCCCTTTCCATACCTGGTGAGTGAGAAGGGGTCAGTCTCGTCGTTACTTTCTAAGGTCTTTGCCCTAAGCAAACCCTACTAACACATTATTAGAAATTACTTCCTCTTACATGAAAATCGTTCTCACTTTCATCCTTAATACTTTTAATCCTTGATATCTCATAGAAGTTCTCTACTTCTATCTTAACTTATATACTTATTACTAGGGAATCACCGCGTTACGTATCGCCGTCCGGTGTCCCTATCCTCAAGGCAATGGTATTGCGTTACGTATCGCCGTACAGTCCATGCCCGGTCTACTACTGCGTTACGTATCGCCGTCCTGTAGTGACCCGACCATCTACCGCGTCCAGTAGTGGCCCAACCGCCCGGGGGTTCAACTTACATACAAACATACATCACATACATAGCACAATGAGTGCCTCCACCTTAAGTAGGCGGTGGGATGCCTCACACACATAATCGCGCTTAATTGAAAAAAAATAACGAACATAACTTGAAATGAAAAAAAAAAACATAAACTAAAGACCTCGACGGAGATTTTACCCCCTTTACTCTCACCTCTCAAGTGTCGATACTTTACTTCCTTTGACGTGGGGTCCCTAAATTTGATCGTCTCCTTGATCCTATAAATCGAGATTAAATTTCCCTTAGTCGCTATTCCGCAAAAAATTTCGTTCTCCTAGCTTAGTCCCATAATTCTTAAAAAGGCCTTAACTCATCCTAACTAATTAAATAATCCTTTGCATAAATCTCATAAAAATTCTCATGAATTTTCCAAAAATCCCATACCCCTCAAACTATAATTTATGACTTCTAATAACTTAAAACATAAACCAAAATCATTGACTATAATTTTATACCTTAATTACCCTTCCTTCTTATTTAATTTAATATAACTAATTTTAGATCTATGCTACACATATCTAAATTTCGGTTTCTTAATTCTCCTACACAAAGTCAATATTCTAGTCTTTCACAAAATTAACAAAGTCATAAAATATATACATATAGTAATTAAATTAATTAAAAAAAATATCATATAAATCTTTGTAATTATCAAATCAACTCTAAAAATCACCCAACAATTACTGAACAAACATAAAGGTATATTTCTTCGAATAAAATTACCAAAACCGGAAAAACCGTTCGAATACTATTTTATTTATCTAAATCCGTCTTCCTAATAATTTTTAAAATTTAGATAAGTTTAAGGTTTCCGAGTTTCCCGGAGCAGCCGAAAAACTTTTTCCGAAGCCGCGCTAGGGTTACGGGGTTTTCCAATGGGGACGGCAACGTCACCGCCAGCGCCGGATCGTCAGGAGAAGCCACCGGACACAATGAGTGGGGTTCGGCGGGCGGCGGACGTATCCTCATCCCCAAATAATAAGAGAGAGAAAGAAACCATGCAAGCTAAGAAGAAAGTGCGTAGTATCAACTTGGACGCTGAAACTGTGGAGATGGAGGACATTACAGCGGAAGAGATGGAAGAGGAAGCTGTACCACAACAGCCGCGACCATCGGCTTTCCAAGCTGGCCCATCAGCATGGAATAATGGCGCCCGACACTTGTTTGGGGAGAAGACCCAACAGGAGGGTTGGTATGTTGCGGATTCGGATTCTGAAGATGTTGCACAAGCGGAGAAAGAAGAGGATGACATGATAGATGAGATGGAGGAAGATCCAACATGTCCCATGGTGGTCTTCACGGCAGCAGAAAAGAGGCAATGACGCAGAGAATGGCGATCGGCTTTGGTCGTGCAAGGGCTGGGAAGGAAAGTGGCGTACCAGCCGCTTGCTCGACGACTGAATTTCCTATGGGCACGACATGGCGAGCTGCAAATCTCTGACCTGAAGAATGGATGTTTCCTCATACGTTTTCGACACCAAGAAGATTATGAACGAGCTGTCAATGGAGGCCCATGGCTACTTGGAGACACTTATCTTACGGTCATGAGGTGGTATAAGGGTTTCAATCCGTGGACGGCCAAGGTGAAATCCACGATGGTGTGGGTGCAAGGGTCACCAATAGAGTTTTTCAATAGAGAAGCAGCTATGCGAATTGGAGCTCTTATTGGGAAACCTATCCGGGTGGATAGGGCAACGGAAGAGGGAGCAAGAGGCAATTACGCTCGAGTATGTGTAGAGGTGGATCTCTCGAAACCTTTGCTGGCAAAATATAAGGTTGAAGGAATTAAATACCGTATTCAGTATGAGGGGTTGGACAAGATATGTACTGAGTGCGGAAGGTATGGGAAACCCACTGACCAGTGCGATTGCAAGGAACCTATAATAAAAGAAACAGTGGTCGAGACGGTGGAGGTGGTGCCGGAGATACAGGCGGAAGAGACAAGATCGGAACCAGCTTATGGGGACTATATGATGGTTAAGAAGAAGGAGAAACGTCCTGCTCATAAGCCCTATGAGACTGGATATAAGGGAGTGACTTATGCAAAAGCATCTACAGCTGGAAGGAATAGATTTCAAGTGCTTAATGAGGACATGACAGGTGAACGAGGCCCATCGACAAAAAATGAGAATAAATTTGCGACATCAAAGGAAAAAGGCCAGGAACAGAAAGAACAACACAGTGAAAATCAAGGAGAGAAGATAAGGGAGGGTAGAGGCGAAAAAGCGAACGTGGGACAATAGAAGGAAAAGGAAGAGGCACGAGCTCTGGTGCAGGAGAAACGAAAGGCGCTGATTGCTGAAGTGAAGGGGACAAAAGGGAAGACAGTGGTAGGGAAGGGACAGTCGAAAGAGAGCTCAAAGAAAGGGATACAAACAGAAGTAGGAAGCCATGAACGAGGTGGCAAGGAAGTAGGGGGTCAAGGAGTAGTATTGCAGAAAGCTGATGGTGCGGGGAACCTATCCCCTCCGAGGAATAAATGAGGATCCTCTGCTACAACTGCCGTGGATTGGGGAACACACGAGCAGTTAGATCCCTGAAAACGCTATTGCGTCATGTTTCCCCACAAATAGTCTTTCTTATGGAGACTAAGCAGTTCGAGGATGAGAATGAAGTAACGATGAGAGAGGTGGGTTTCACTAAAGGAAAAAGCTGGCCAGCAAATGACTCAAATGGCGGAAAGGCGGGCGCGCTGTGTTTATGGTGGAAGGAAGAGATAAAGCTTGAGGTTATGGGGCGGTCCCTAAACCACATGGATGCTTGCGTTGAGGAAGAGAATGGAAGGTTGTGGAGGTTCACCGGGATTTATGGCTGGCCGGACAGGGGTGATAAGAGTAAAACATGGGATTTGTTACGCTCTCTGGCAAATCAATGGGCAGGACCGTGGTTGTGCGGCGGTGATTTTAACCAGGTTCTGTCGACTGAAGAGAAAAAGGGTGGTAATATTGTCCCGGAACAGGAAATGGTGGATTTTGCGGAGTGTCTGGTGGATATGGGGGTGTATGACCTGGGGTATGAAGGCTATCCGTGGGAAAACCGAAGGAGTATGGGGGGATATATTGAGGAGAGGTTGGACCGGTTTGTGGCCAATGATTCGTGGAAGGAGCTGTTTGACCTCGCTAGAGTGGTAAATGGAGACGCGAGCAGGTCGGATCATCGACCTATTTTCTGTGACACTATGGGGAAGGAAGATGAGGAGGTTAAGTGGGGCTGGGCGTTTAAGTTCGAACCACATTGGGTCAAACATGTGGATTGTCCGAAAGTTGTGGAGGAAGGGTGGAAAGGTGGGGCAATGGATATTTTCTCTCGGATGGAAGAAGTCAAAAGCAGACTGGATAGATGGAGTAGAGCTACTTTTCCAAATTTCAAAAAGCAAAAGGAGAAGATTAGAAAGGCGCTTAGGGCGCTCGAGCGGCTTCCGAAGACGGATGCAGTATTGGCGCAAAGCCATAATCTCCGATCGGAGCTAGAAGATATTGAATGTGACGAGGAGATTTTCTGGAAACAGCGATCCCGGGCTGACTGGCTAAAAGGCGGTGATAAGAATACTAATTATTTCCACAGGAAAGCCTCTGCGCGACGGAAAAAAAATACGATCACAAAGCTGAAGGACGAGATGAACCAATGGTATCGGGGACAGGAGGAGGTGTTCGGCTGTTTGCTGGAGTATTTCGGTCGACTGTTTAAGGCTGGGGACCGACCGCCTGTTACGCCAGTTCTGGACTCAATTGGCCGCCGAGTCCCGGAGGAGGCAAATGAAATATTGTTGCGACTGTTCACTAGAGAAGAGGTTTTTGCTGCGTTAAAACAAATGGGAAAAAGGAAAGTGCCCGGAGAGGATGGTTTGTCAGTCTTATTTTATTTGAAGTTCTGGGGTATTATTGGAGACGATGTTACAGCTCTCGTCCTTCACATCCTGGAACATGAAAGTTTGCCGCCAAACTTGAATCATACGCTAATCGCCTTAATTCCGAAGGTAAAAGAACCCACAGTGCCGAAGGAATTTCCGCCAATTAGCTTATGTAATGTTCTTTACAAAATTGTGGCAAAGACTTTAGCAAACCGTATGAAGAGCCTGCTGGATGTGGTGATTTCGCCGGAACAAAGTGCTTTTGTCCCGGGACGATTCATAGCTGATAACATCATGGCAGCTTTTGAGTGTTTCTTTTTTTTTTTTTGACAAACTTTTGAGTGTTTCCACACGATGAAAAAGCAAACGAAGATTAAGAGAGGTTACTTTGCAGCAAAGACAGACATGGCGAAGGCGTACGACAGGGTAGAGTGGTGGTTTCTGGAGGGCGTTATGAAGAAGATGGGTTTTGATGATAGATGGGTTCGCTTGGTGATGATGTGCGTGACTTCGGTATCATACTCGGTACTTGTAAATGGTCATCGCTCCCCCCGGTTCACACCGAGCAGAGGTCTTCGGCAAGGAGACCCACGGTCCCCGTACCTGTTTCTGTTGGTGGCAGAGGGCCTTTCGGCATATACAACGAAAGCAAGGCTAGAAGGGAGACTCCATGGACTCCAGGTGGCGCAGGGAGCCCCTTCAGTATCACACCTGTTTTTTGCTGACGACTCTATCTTTTTTGCTAGGGCTACTCCACAGGAAGGCTGGGAGCTGAAACAAATCCTGAGTGACTACGAAATAGAGTCAGGCCAGATGATCAGCTATGAGAAGTCGGAAGTGACCTTTGGGGCGAGTGTGAAGCCCCATCAGAGCCTCCAGGTGAGCTCGATCCTGAACATGAAGACTGTGGAAAAGCATGATAAGTATTTGGGATTAGCTATAGTGGCAGGCAGATCAAAGAAGGAATTATTCTCTACAATCAAAGAAAGAGTGAGGAAGAAGCTTTCGGGATGGAAGGAGAGGAATATGTCTGCAGCGGCGAGAGAGATTTTAATCAAATCAGTCCCCCAGGCTCAATTGACTTATGTCATGTCGGTGTTCCGCGTACCAGAGGGAGTTATTGATGAGGTACGTGGCAGGATTATGAGGTTCTGGTGGGGACAAAAAGGAACTGAAAAGAGAATACCATGGTTGGCGAGGGAGAAGCTTGTTTGTCCAAAGGCGGAAGGTGGTATGGGTTTCCGAGACTTGCGAGGTTTCAACACTGCCCTGCTGGCTAGGCAATTATGGAATCTCCATCAACGGCTTGGCTCCCTTATTGCGAGGATGATGAAAGCAAAATATTCTAAGAATGGGTCAGCACTCGAGGCAAATGTCGGATACCGACCAAGCTTTGTATGGCGCAGTTTGATGAGCGCGCAAGAGTTCTTATGCAGTGGATTGAGGTGGAGGATTGGGAACGGGGACTTGGTTCGTATATGGGGAGATCGGTGGTTGCCGGATGTCCCAGGCTTCTTCGTTCAGTCACCGCCGATGGGGTTGCCGGTAGACTCGAAGGTTAGTGAGCTGATTGATGCGGATACTGAGCAGTGGGATGCATCACTTGTTGAAAGCTGTTTTCCAGCGGCGATGGCTGAGTCCATCCTGCGCATTCCAGTGCAAGGTATTAGCGAGCCTGATGGCAGATTTGGGCTTCGAGTAAAACAGGGAGCTATGAAGTTAGGGAGGGCTACCGTGTGTGGTTGAAGGAGTTCGTGTCTGAACGGGAGTTACAGCCAGTACGGGAAGCCAATATGTGGAACACTATTTGGTCAATGAAGACGCCACCAAAGGTTCGCCATTTTATGTGGCGTTTTGCTAGAGCATCTTTGGCTACGGTTGACCTGGTGAGTATGAGAAGTGAGCGGAGAGGAGATGCTTGCCCTTTTTGTAACCTGAAGGAGACACAAGTTCATTTATTTGGGGAGTGTGGCTGGGTTTGTCGAATCTGGCGGGCATCAACTTTAGCCAAGTGGTTTGATATGAGAGATGACGAGGGATGCCTGGAATGGGTAGCACGAGTGGCTAAGGCAGCAACAGAAGAAGAGTTTGCGGACTGGAGTGTATTGCTATGGTTTCTTTGGAAAGAACGAAACGCACATCTGTTCAATGGTGCAAAGTTGGCCGAAGAAGAAATAGTGATGCGCACCCAAGCTTTTCTTGATGATTATAGACAATACCAGGAGACTTTGGACAGTTCATCGGGGCCAGGCGTGACGAAGACGTGGCAACGACCAAGAATGGGAAAGATTAAAGTGAATGTTGATGCAGGAGTCGTGGATGGAGGTTTGGGTCTGGGTGTGGTTATAAGGGATGCCATAGGGCGCTTTGTGTTAGCGGCTGCAAAGAGGGTCCGATACGGGGGAGATCCGGAAATGGGCGAGGCGCTAGCAGGGGAGTTTGGTCTCCTTTTGGTGCGACAACATCACTTGTGATCCCCAGTACTCGAAACAGACTGCCTTACGCTGGTGGGCAAGATTTCGACAGCTAGAGATATCCATACTTAAGTGGGAGTTATATGTCGAAGTATTCGTAAGCTGATGGAGGAAATTGGGGGAGGTGAGTGGCGACACGTTAGCAGGACGGCCAACGAGGCAGTCCATAAAATGGCGCATGTCAACACGAGATGGAATGAAGCGGAGGTCTGGTTTGATAGACCACCAATGTGTCTGCTTGATCAGCTGAAACTTGATGATGTAAGTTGTAACTGGTTCTTCTGATTAATAATAGCTCTGAGCAAATTTCTATAAAAAAAATTAAATTTGAAAATTATCTTCAAAAATTCTCGAATTAATATCCAAGACTCCTATTAATTTTATCTTATTTATAAAATTATCATACTTTGAAAATACACATTGTACGCAACCCAAAATAATAATTAAAATTGTGAGAAAATACTGTTTTCGATCAATTGTAAATGTTTAAAACAGTGGGGCTAGCTGCTCGTACCGAAAATATGGGGGACTTGGGACTGAAATGCAATTAATCTCTAGGTCCTTATACTTTTCGAATGGACAGATTTGGTACCTGAAATATCTGATTCACGTCCCACGCTTTCGAGGCTCGTATCTTCCTCGTCCGGCGTCGAAATTCAAATCTGTCGAAATCAGGATGTTCCTGAGATTTCTCTCTACGAGATGGTACCAAGTTTTTGAAGTTTGGTCGAGGTCGAGTACGCCGGTGCCGTCGACGGAGCACTACGATGATCACATGCGTTGGTTTAATGGGGGTTAAATCGAGTTTAGGGACAGAGGAGATCAAGAACCTTACCACTACAACGCCAGGAGAGAAAAGTTATCTTCGATGGTGGCGTCAACACAGGGCTTGCGACGGGATGAGTGGAGGTCGCTTCCT